ATTTGACTCCTCACAGGGCTCTGGACCCCTCACCCCCGCCCCCACCTGCTGATTTCCTGCACGTCCTTCTGCAGCCTCTTGGCCAGCTTGCGGCTGTAGGTCTCCAGGGGGAGCCTGACGCTGTCGTCCACCAGGGCCTGCAGCTCCTGGCCGTAGGACGCCACCTGCTGGCCGGCCTCGGCCACGTGGCCCCGCAGTCTGCCCGCCAGCAGCTGCAGGTCGCCCTGCAGACGCTCGGCCGCCTCCAGGCTCAGCGGCGCCAGCTTGGTCTGCACGTCGTCACGGTACGAGGACAGCTCCGCCAGACTGTCCTGGATCAGGGTGCTGGGGGGGGGCAGAGGGTCTGGGGTCAGAACCTGGATCAGTTGGTCTCTGGACCGGTGCAGAGGGACTGGACTAAAGGCTAAAGCACCGGGTCCTAGACCAGGTCTGGAGGCTGACCCTGGTCCTGCGTCAGGTCTTTAGGCTACACTGGGTACTGAACCAGGGATGGCTTCCAGAACTGGTCCAGAACCCGGGTCAGCACCTGAACCAGTTCTGGAGGCCAGCCCGGGTCCTGGACCAGGTCTGGAGGCCGACCCTGGTCCTAGGTCAGTTCTTAAGGCTACAGTACTGTGTACTGGACTGGGGACGACTTCCAGAACTGGTCCAGGACCCTGGTCAGCACCTGAATCAGTTCCGGAGGCCGACCCAGGTCCTGGGCCAGGTCTAAAGGTTACAGCACCTGGACCAGTTCTGGAGGCTGACCCAGGTCCTGGAACAGGTCTAAAGGCTACAGCACCTGGACCGGGGTTCGTGGACCGGGTCTGGAGGCCGACTCCGGTCCTGGACCAGGTCTAAAGGCTACAGCCCGGGTTCCTGGACCGGGTCTGGAGGCCTACCCCGGTCATGGACCGGGTCTTAAGGCGGCAGTCCCAGGTCCTGGACAGGGGACGGCCTCCAGAACCGGTCGAGGACCCGGGTCATCCCTGGACCGGGTCTCGAGGCCTTCCTGGGTCCGGTCCAGGGATCCTGGACCAGTCTTTAGGCCAGACCGGGTTCTAGACTGGATCCTGGACCCCTGGACCAGGTCCTGGACCCCTGGATTGGGTCACTCACTCCAGTTCGCGGCTGATCTGGGACTCTTTGATGTCCTGCAGCACCCCATCGGCCCTGCTGTTCAGGTCTGAGACGTAGTCCTGGAACCGGCTTAGCGTGGACTCCCAGGAGCTCTGGAGCTCCTCAAGAGGAAAGCTGCGAGCCTGGCAGCCTGAGGACAGAGGGGGGGGGGGGGGGGGGGGCGGGACTGGGTCAGAACCGGGTGACTAACAGGCTGAAGGGACCCAGAAAGAACCCGAAAGCTGCTGGTTTCCAGACCAGGAGACCTAGAAAACCCTCCTGCTGCCTCAGTCCCAGAGTCCTGACTAAGTTTTCCTCCTGTTTGGGTCTGAAAAGCAGCTGGATGCTTCCTGCTCTGCTGGTTAAACTCTGACAGAAACCTGTCTGTGATCACACATCAACATCTGAGCCTCTGATCCAAACTAAAGTCCAGAGAACTCAGAGTTCTGCTGGTTTTACTCCAGAATGAGGCTTCATTTAATGGAAATCAGCTCTGTTCCAGCATCGAGAAATGAAGGAAATTTTGTGCTGTTGACTTAAAAACTGGAACTCAGAGCTGTGGATCATTTTAGAAACATCTATCTTCATTAAAAATGAACTAATTTATTACAAAAAGAATTAAAAGATGTCACTTTTTCCACAAGAAGCTAAAAATAATCCCACACATTAATTTCCGAATCAATTAAATTACTAAAATAGATACATTATTCCATTATAATATTCCACTAAATGAGCTCTGTTCCAGCAGATTATGAATGGTAAAACTCTGTTTTCAGTGGTTCTCCATTAATCTGTGAGCCTCTGATCACAACCAGAGGAAATTAATGTGATCTAAAAGTAATTAACAGACATTGACTCCAGAAAACACAAAGTTTAAGGAGTGAAATAGAGTAAAAAATGACGTAATATTTGTCTTTAAACAGAAGCAATGAGTCCAGTTTGTCCATTTTTCCTGGACCCATGTTCCAGCTTCTTTTCTCCCCCAAACGTGGAGCCTTTTCCAGCCCTGACTCACCGGAGAGAACGGCCAGTGCGAGGAAAGCTGCCAACAGCCTCATGATGACGAGTCAGGACACCTGGAAAGACACAGCAGGCGTCAGCTTCAGAGGACAGAGGCTCCAGAGGCTCCTGTCCTCATCTGGGATGCGACCCCACCCCCCTGAAACGGCCTCCTACCTCTGATCTGAGCCCTCAGGCCGACTGCAGTCGTCTGTCTGTATTTATACTGTTACGGTGGCGGACCTGGCGGATATCAGCCCGATCAGTGACCCGCGTCCGAAGTTCTCAGAGTGAACTGTGCTGTTGTCATGTTTTATTGCTGTGTGTGTCGCTTTGGCTCCACGTCGCAACCTGAAGGCGCCCCGGGGCCAAGAAGAAGAACAACAACAACAAAAAGAGGAAGAAGAAGAAGAAGAGGAGCCTGACGGCTGGGCTCCAGTCTCAGAGTCTGGTCGGGTTCCTTAAGGGAACCAGGGGGTTCTTAAACCTCCTGATTTCCTGTTCTGATGGAGGACGCTGAATCTCTACCTTACTGTTCTAGGATCCTTCTTTTTTCTTTGAACTTTGACCTCTTGGCCTCATAGCAGACGCTATCAGACACTACTGTTTGAAATTTAAAGGAAAATGCTTTTAGACATTTTATCCAAACGGGCCAATGGGAGCAGGGCTTGCTGTCCCATGTGACCTGAGAAAGGAGAGGATACTGTGTGTGATCCACTTAAATGGAAAATGTTTGGGGGAATCTCTGGAAAATCTTTGAAGATTTTGCTTTTTTAGGTCTTTAAATGTGTTCGAAGAGCTCAGAAATCTCAGCTTTTGCGGCTTGTTTACTGTTTAAAATCTAAAAAAAAGTGCTTTTAGACATTTTACACCAATCATGTTCTTATTGTGAGATTAAAATGTTTTAAATAAGTCATTTGGACCCTCGGAACCAAATAGCAAAAGCATTGAATTAAATCTGAAAACAGACATTTTAAGTCTAAAGATAAACTGCTGTACCAGGACAAAGTCTAGTTATTAAACTTATCAGCTGCTACTGATCCAAAGATCTGGAACAAAGCAGAACCAGATAGAAGCTTTTGGCTCTCAGGAGGTTAAAACCCCCTAAAAACTCTTCAAACGGGCGACCTTTGACCTCCAGCAGGGTGGAGGTTAAAGGTTGCCGCCGTGTCATGTCTGGCTCCGACTCATCTGATCTTTAATCCACTTTAACAGCTTTATTTGTTTATGCCACCTTTACGAGGCTGGAATCCCTCCAGAACTTTCACACGTTCAATGAATAACGAGGAGCTTCAGAAACACAAAAAAAAGGACAGAAAACGTGTCCCTGAAGGCTTTTCTGTCCGAGCTGATAAGAGCCTGAGCAGTCCATGTTTGTCTGAAGGCTTTTAAGGTGGAAAGAGGAGAAATAAAGGTCTATTTCCCGCTTTCCTGTCCTTTCTTTTCTTTCTCGCATGTTTGCTCTGCATTCTTATCTTATCAAATTATTCTGATTTGTTCATGAGACAGAAATAGAAATCCACTATCAGCTTTTATGTTGATATTTCTTACATGTTTTCAATTGATATATATATCAATTAAATATATAATAGAAGAATATATATATTCTTACTTTTTATGAATTATCTATTATTTTTTTTCTTTTACTAATTTTATCATTCTTATTTTATTTACTTTGACTAGTACTGCTGCCATGTTTTTGTTTGTAAATTGATGTTCAAATGAAGGACTGTGGGTCAAACTTTCCATCATGGCTGCCCCCTGAAAAGGAAGGAATCACCATAGCAACCAGGGGGACAACCATTCCATCATGGCTGCCCCCTGAAGAAGAAGGGGAATTGATGAGTTTACATATTTGATATGAAATGATTTTTCTATGCATAAATAACATTTCACCATTTCAGACTAGGTAAAAATATAGAAAATTAAGACATATAAATAACAAAATTCATTCTTGGTTATTACCTTTTATTCACATTTTTAGCAGTGAGAAAAGAGCCTACAGAGCTTTATCAGACACAAACGTTAAGCCGAGCCTTTCAGACAGTCATCTTTGGACTAAAATCTTTTAGAATTGGACTTTTTTGGTCTTTATGGGCTAAAAGATGTTTTGAATACTTCTGACCATCGACTTAAGATTAGATTTGCAGAGGCCTGACATTCAGTTCTTTTAAATAAAGATTATTTATTTCTACATGACACACACATTAAGGTCAGATCTGCTTAAAATGACACGCTGTTTACAGCTAATTCTTTTTTGTATTTTTTATTTTTGAAGGAGAAACAGAAGCAGCCTGCTGTATTTCACTGAGCTTCTGGGAAGGCGGCTAATACACGCGCTTGCAGAAGGAGCCCCACAGGTTCTCCACATTCTTCTCCACGTCCTGGCAGCTGGACGGCTGCTTGCCCTTCCAGTGCTTCTGGCCGTGGTGCTTTTTCATGATGCCTTGCGCTTTATGGCTGACCTTCTTCTCCAGGTCGTGGGTGAGGTGGAGCAGGTGGCTCTCGCAGTAGTCCACGTGGTCGTCCACATCCTTGACGTGGGGGTCGTGGCTGCAGGGCTCCTGCTTCAGGATGTCCTTCAGCTCCTTCAGCTTGTGCCGGATGGCGTTCTTCAGGCCCTTGATGTTGAGGGCCTTGGCGTGGTGCTCGGCGGCGCCCTTCAGATCCTCCACCCAGTGGTGGATGTGCTCCTCCAGCATCTCCTGCTTGGCCTCCAGCCGGTGGCCCAGCGTGTGCAGGAAGTGCTCCAGGTGCTCCTTCAGGTGGTCGATCTCGTAGTGGAGCTTGTGCAGGAAGTCGGACACCACCGAGGTCACGTGGGTGTACAGGAAGTGGAGCACCTTGTTGATGGCGGCGGTGCTCTTCTCCACCAGCGCGCTGCAGACAACACACACAAAGACACACAAAAACAGAGACGCCTTACTTTGTGAGCTGGGACACAGAAGTCTCTCCTTTTTTTCTGTTTTTAGAACAATGTATTAATTGATTTTATGTGCATAAACAGCCCAATTACAGCTGGTTATCAGCGTGTGGTGCAGAACAGCCGGCAGCAAACAACAAAATAAGAAACTATTTAAGCACACAATTATGGCCAACCTTTCCCGATATAAACTTCACAAACAATCTCCACTCATTCATCAGTTCACAGAAGCAAATAACAGAAACAAATAATAATAGGCCTTCAAATCCAGCCATCTATCTATCTATCTATCTATCTATCTATCTATCTATCTATCTATCTATCTATCTATTTCCTCTTTCTCTCTCTCTCTCTCTCTCTCTGTCCGTGTCTTACTTGAACTTGTGCTTCAGGTGGCAGGTGCCGAACATCTTGTGACACTCGTCCGAGTTGGTCTCCTTCTTCACGTAGTTCCAGAACAGCAGGTCCACCAGCTTCTGTTTGGAGTCGTGCTCGTCGTCGTCGTGGTCGTGATGGTGGTCGTGATGAGGGTGCTGGTCATGGTGGTGGTCGTGATGATGATGCTGGTGATGAGGATGCTGGTGATGGTGATGAGGATG